ACCCTCCCCCCTCTCATGTGCTCTCTCTCTCTCATTCTCTCTGTCTCAAATAAATAAATAAAATCTTTAAAAAAAAAGTGAAATGTTTAGGTGTTTTTTCTGATTGAGAATAATCATTCCACCAAGTAGTACTGAGCTCCTGCACCGTGCCCAGTCCTGCGCCGGACTGTGCCTCGGGACAGTGGGGATGACAGCCCCGGCCCTGTCCTCCTGGGGCTCACAGTCCAGTAGGAGAGACAGACCCATCACTAGGCAGTGATGACCCAGCCTGGGGGCGAGGGAGGGCTTCCTGGAGGAGGGGACATCAAAGCTTCCTTGGAGGGTGGAGGATTGTGTAGATAGATCTCGTTGAGGGCTCCAGCCCAGGTCCTACCCTTGCTCCCTTCCACATCCTTCTTTATTATCCATTTCAAGTATAATAAACAGCTGCTGTGTACATGGTGATGAACCAACCAGGTCCCTCATCTTGGGCAGCCTGGCCAGGGAAGAATATAGCAGAACAGTAGCCTCAGGCTGGGGGTCCAATCCAGCTCTCCCCTTCCTGACGAGTGACTTCACCTCTCTGGGCTTCGATGCCCTCACAGAATTAACAGGGCCCCGCTTCCAAGGTTCTTGTGAGGATTTTTTTGAGACCATGAAGTTTAAAGCCCTCGGCACAGGTCAAGTAGACAATGCTCAATACATTTGACTCCTTGCCTCTCTCGCCAACCCACCCTGCCTCACCCTGAGCCCCTACCTCACAGCAAAGAAGCACTAAGAATTCTCTACAGGATTTTTATTGGAGGGTGGGGGTGGATATGGCATCATGAAGTCCTTGGTACAGGAGCCAGGGCATGGGAAATTTCGGAGCTCCTTCCAGGGCGCACAGCCCAGAGGAGTGGGGCGGCTCTTCTGGTGTTCAGGAGAAGGCAGTTTTGAGCTGCTCCTTCACTTTGTGGAAAGTCTCAGAAAACCAGTTCCTGCAGGGAGAGATGGGGGAGTCACTGTGTTTGTCTCCCCTCAGGGGGCCCAGGTCCTGCCCTCTACCTGCCTCCCCCATCTTCCCCTTTCCCTTCCGCCCAGGAAACAGCATGGCTCCGGTATCTATGGGATTGGGAGGAGCCCTGGGCTGGGTTTCCCAGAGGGACCAGAGCTCTTTGAAGTCAGAATGCTCCAGCCCGGCCCAACTTTGAAGGCTTGCTATCTCTAGCTAGTAAGCCTGCTCTGGCCTAGCTGTCTCCTACTTATCCAAGGGCACTCTTCAGCCTCCTTGTCTTTGCCTAGGCTGTCCCTCTGGCCTGGATTATGTACATATCTTCCTGGCTCAGGGCTTTCGCACTCACCCTCCACAGGGAACATTCTTCCATGTTTCTAGGCCTGGTTGGATTTTCCTAATCACTCAGATCTCAAATTTTTTTTTTTTTTTTTTTTTAGCAAGACAACCAGGCCTCATGGGGGCTCAAACTCACAACCCCGAGATCAAGACCTGAGGGGAGATCAAGAGTCTGAAGCTTAACCTACTGAGCCACCCAGGCGCCCCGAAGCAGTAACACTTTAAATGGAGATATGAAAAGGGGTGCCTGGCTAGCTCAGTCGGTAGAGTACACGACTCTTGATCTTGGGGTCGTGAGTTCAAGCCCCACACTGGTTGTTTACACCCACCCTGTTTGTTGTCTTCTTAGTGCTTAGCCCTGTCTGGGCTAATCTCCCGGACATTCACTGGTTTACAATCTGCTCCCTGCGGGCTGGGACTTTATCTTCATCACTATTATTCCCCACATTGGAACAGCCCGGACACGTAGCCGATGCCCGATAAATATTTGTTCATGAATGAATGATTTTCTAAGTGGCCAAATGGAGTTGATGTTGGTTAAAGAGCATATCGAGCATTTACAATGTGCCAGGCACTATGCAAATCCCCTAGTTTGCTTCTCCTCAGAACTATCCCTTTTACAGGCGAGGAAAAAGGCTGATCCAGATCTACCCCGGAGATCACACAAAGAGTAGTGAGTCTTCACTGGCCTGTGGACCCAGGCCTGACTGACTCCCAAGCTTGGTCTTTCACCACCACGCAGGACCATTTCTACAGCGTGGCCTAGATGGAAGTCAGGAACCTGTCCCCCACATCTAAGCACCCTGTGATCCAGCTGTGACCACAGGGAAGCTGTCTGCCTCTCCAGGCCTCAGTTTCCCCAATCTGTTAGTGATGTACCCCAGCCCTCCCAAGCCCTGGGGAGGTTCCTAACCGGGTCTTCGCAGGAATGTCGCTCTGCTTGATGCTTTCAATGGCTGCCCGGGCCTTGTCCTCCAGGGTGTTACCAAACTCCTTCAGTTTATCCGGGATGCGCCCCAAAGTGCTGGAGATTTCTGGGGCCGCCTGGGTGGGGGCTGGGCCTGCCCAGAAGATGGGCAGCGGTACAAAAATTTCAGTATTGGGAGCCCTTAGGATGAGATTCCAGGGGTGGGAAAGGAGATCCTTGAAAGTGATTCTTGGAGGTCACAGTGTTAGACTCGGAGGCGGGGTGCGGGGAGAGGGTACTAAAGCGACCAGATGGAGCTCAAGCTGCTGGGAATTAGCTTACTCTCAGCACTGCTTCACCCCTCCCCTTTCCAGGCTGCAAAAGCAGGACAGCCAATCCTGGAGGGGCGAGTCAATACATCATCGGTTGCTAGGGCTTCCCACGGCAGATTAGCCACCCGCGGGACCGCCCCCTTAGAGAGCCCTCACCCACTTTGCGGGATTGGGGGTGGGGTGATCGGTGAGAGATAGGAAAACCAGGGCACAGAAGGGGCCCCAGAGCTCTCAAGGGTCCTCCAAGCTCGGACCCTAGACCCGTGGCCAGCTTCAAGCTTCCGAGTCTCAAACTCCCAGATTCTCCTATCCCACTTTTACCTTCCAAAACCATCGCCAGAACCACCACCAAAACTGGGAGCGACAGGAAGAGCCTCATGGCTGGGGGCCGGAGGGGCACTCTGGAAGCAGAAGCAGGGGTGGGAGTGATCAGTGACACCCCTCCTCCCTACCCGGAGTTCCTTCCAAACCCCCTTTCTAGTGCTCTTGGAGGGGCATCCCTCCCCGGCATCGAGCACCAACCTGGATCAGTCGCCGGACAGCACGGTGGGAGGTCCTGGCCCGGCCCAGGCCTTTATCGGGCTGGGGAGGGGGCGGGGCAAATTAATCCCTCCCCTTAAGCCTCAGGCAGATGGCCTTCGCCCTGTGCCCACCCACCTTTTCCTCTTCCCCGCCTGGCTGGTGCGTGGGTCAGGTGGGCCTAGGCACATCCCTTAGGCCTAAAGCCTCTTGCTGTTCAGCACCTGCACCTCCAAATCTCCCTGACTTGGTGGATCTCAGCGTGCCATAGTCCCTTCCCCACATGGGGGCACTGCCTTTAGTCTCCCGCCGTGGCCATCTTCTCTAGGGGGTCTCTCCTGCTGAACACCCTTCTCCCGGCCTGGGGAGTGGGGGGGGGTGGTGTCTCTCAGTCACTTAGTCACTCTGTAACTCAATTCACTGCAACTCCTCAGGCCTCCTCTTCCACCCCCTCTTCCCTTCTTAGCAAGCCTCTTCAGCACAAGCAAGCAACTCTTCCTCCAAGACTCTAGGGTCACCCCATCTGCCCCCACATTCCCAGTCCCTTGCCACCTCCAGTCTCACTTTCAGACCAGCCCTCAAGCCCCCCCACCTCCCTGCATCTGGGAGCATCCCAGACCTCCATGGTTGTGCTCTGGGGTCTTTATTCCACAGCCCCCCGATCTCTCTTTGGGGAAGAGGTCCTTTCAGCCTGTCTGAACTGCAAAAGCTCAGCTGCAAAGATCCCAGTGTGTGCGCCTCCATCCATTCCACCAGGCCCCTCTTTGCCCTCTGCTTTCCCACTCTGGAAGCTTCCGGGCCCCCTGGTAAACACTCCATCTGTCCTTACCCCTTTGGGCCCTTCCTGGCACTAGGCGGCCCCCCCTCCCCCCTCCCCCCGTCTCTCCTCCCACCACATCCATCCCTCAGGGCTGGAGTCCAATGGTTCCCCTCTTCTTCTGGCTGCCTTTGACCGCCAGTGATCCCTGGCAGCTGTAGGGAGGGCGGCCCTGGCCTCAGACTTGAGGTTGGCTGGCCTTGTGCCCCCACAACCACGTGTCAGCCTGGGGGTGGTGGGGGGGGACGGTTGTGAAAGGGACGCACAGACATGACCCTGGCAGGATTGCGACAACCTCTTGGCCAGCTCAGTGCATCTAGTCCCTGTCAGCCCCCCAGCTGCCTTCCCAGACATCTGCTTCCCCTGCGAGCCTAGCATTCCCCAGACATCCACCCAAAGTTCTGCTTTCCTTCCTTCCTCACCCCACCGGAATAGAATAACAACTTTGCTTTTCCAGTCTCCTCCTTATTCCAGCTATAGGGTTTCCATTTACAGATGGGGAAACTGAGGCACAGCCAAGCACAACCAATGGCTCAGCCAGGGGCTAAGGCGCTGGGGGGAGGGGGGGGTGTCAGTTCTTTGTCCCTCCCCTTTCCGGACTCCAGGCTGTCTCTCTGAATCTCTGCGGGCTTGTCATCCTCCGCCCCACAGCACCCCCTCTGTTCCCCCAAACTCCTTCTGCAGCCCTTGTGCCATCTCTAGACCTGACTGCTATCTTCATCCAGGAGAATTCAAGATTCAGCTCTTCAAGGGGGAGATGTGGCTGAGGCCAGCCCCGGCTATTGACATCTGTGGCTCAGAGGGCTTGGCCCCAGCTCCGGGGCACACAGTGAATCACTAGCACGCTTGGCTGGGACTAGGCCCCCTGCCTCTGAGCCCACTGACCCTTCTCCTCCTCACCCAGCCTGGGTTGAGTCATCTGGGGGTGGGGAGGGGTGCCTGCCTCCGCAAGGGCACTCAGGGCAGCCAGCCCCGTAGGAACCACACGGGAGAGCACAGGCTGGGCCTGGGAGTTACAGGTTCAAGCCCTGGCCTGTCCCCTGGGCTGGGAACCCTGCTCCCCTCCTCTGAGAACTGAGGGGGTGGGAGAGAATGCCAGGGGGCAGCTCCAGGCTCCAGTCCTCACTGCTCCCGAGTGTCAACCAACTGGCTCCCAGCCGTGGACCCCAGGCCTCGGGGGGGGGGGGGTGGGCAGCTGCCTTCTCTCCAGCCAGGATCCAGCACCCAGTAGGCTTGTTGGGCTAGACAAGAGGTCTGCAGCCCAGCTGGAGGACACAGGGAAGGAGGATGAGGGCAGGGGGCCGGGAAGCACGGCTCCGATGAAGACACCTGTTAACCCAGAGGGAACGCCAAAGGCAGAGAGGGCGCAAGGGACGACCGAACAGGTGGAGAGGACAAACCCAGCTGGGGCAAGAAGGGAAACAAGAAACAGGTGAAGCCGCGGAGGTGGGGCAAGAAACTGGAGGAGAAAGAGATAAAAGATAGAGGTGGGGGAAAACAGGAAGCTAGAAACTGAAGCCTCTCTGCCAAGAGCAGGCCAGGAGGCAGAATCAGATAAGACAGGAGAGCAACAGTAAGGGATTCATCCTAACGGCAGGGGTGTCGGGGCTTCAGAGTCCTGACTTCACCGAGCAGGTATCCCGCCGCTGAGCAAGCCCAGGCTCCGAGAGGCTGCTTCCCACCCTCACCCCCGACCCCTGACCCCAGTAGTCAGGGGTGACCACAGGATTTACCCCAGGGGTGGATCTGATCCAAAACCAGAAGGGACAGGAGGGTAGAGGAGAGTGAGCACTGCTGAGCGGAGACAGAGCAAAAAGGGAGACTCTGAAAGGGACAGAAGGAAGCGAACACTGAGATCAGAAAAGACAAAGAGACGCACAAGCAGAGGGGACAGGACAGAGCTGTGTGGCCAGTGTGGGGAAGGAGAGAGAAACCGAGGCACGAGCCGGGAGAAATCACACACGGAGGCCCAGCGGCTGCTGTGGAGCTTGGTGAATCTTTATTAAGCTAGGGCCCTCCAGGAGGCCGGTTGGGGCCGGGACAGCGCCTCCTGGAGGCTGGGGTGGGGGGAGGCAGGGGGCACGGGCAGGGGCGGGGCCCACCAGGCGGCGCGCGCGGGGTACTCATTTGGTCTCCACGGGTGCGGTGGTGGGGCTGGTGCCCACGGCCGCCTGCACCTTCTCCACCAGCCCGGCCCACTGGCGCTGCATGTCTTCCACCAGGGGCTCGAACCAGCTCTTGAGGCGGGCCTGGAAGGCCTCGGCCTGCTGGCGCATCTGGTTGGCCTGCTCCTCCATCTTGGCCTGCACCTCCTCCATCTGCTCGCGCACCTCGTCCAGCTGGCTGCGCGCGCGGCTGCCCACCTCCTCCAGCCGCCCGCGCAGCTGCTGGCCCAGGGCGTCGACGCGCTCGCGCAGCGGCTGCGTGGCCAGGTTGGCGTGG